AACATCCATCAGCTGCCTCCTGCACACCTCCTACTGGGGATGTGCCTGCGACCCAGATACATGCCCTTGACCGGAATCGAACCTGGGACCTTTCAGTCTGCAGGCCGACGCTCTATCCACTGAGCCAAACCAGTTCTGGCCAGGCATTGTGCCTCTTCATTTTCTCTACCAAGCACTGAAAAGGATCAGTTGACAGTCATCTTTCACCAGTGTCTGGCACCGTCTCCTCAAAGCCAGCGGGGGCAGAGGGCAGTCTGTGACCACACCCCAAGCTTGATGTTTCCTTTTCAGGAAGCCCACTGGCCTTGGAGCCTCCCCACATTGACAACTGGAGTGTGATGGGCCAACCGAGCGAGATCCTAGGTCTCAGTCCTTCCCTCTTCAGCTCCCCAGGGAAACTGCTGTCAGAACAGGTCTTGGAGGAGGGCAGCGAGTACCTGACCCAAGGTGAGCATGCAGGGCTGGACCTGGTCCTTGGTTCATTCAGAAAACACACAGTGATGCCCACCAAGTAAGTGTGCAGCCTTGTGCTGGGCAGTGCTGGATGCCCAGGGATGTATGCTGTCCGGGCCCTGCCTCTCAGAGCCCATAGCTTAGTGGGTGTGTGGAGGAGCCCCAGGCCAGCGTGGGGAGTGGAAGGCTCCAGAAGCCTGCAGCAGGGACCAACTCGCTCTGCCTAGGGTAGAGGTGGCCCAGGGGAGCTGGCCTGGGAGCTAGATTTGAATATGGCGGAGGAGATCCAGAAACCTGGAGAGTGGCACAGAGCCCTGGTGCCGTGAGGGAGCCATTTTCATCCTAGCCAACCTCTGCCTTCCCTCCCGGACAGCTCTCTTTGAAGAAGTTTTCTTAGATCCCGTGTCTTCACCTTCTGCCTGCGTGCTGGAAGTACCACCGAAGAAGGTAGGCATCTCTCCACCCCTCCATCCACAGGAACGGTCGTCCTGCTTTCCATGAGTCACTCACCGGCTCGATTCACTCATCCATCCCCTCAACGTTTCCAGAGACTCATCTGTTCATCCTTTGAATGCTCACTGTTGGCCACCAGGCGCCCACTCTGTGCTGGGCACTTGGAATGAACTAGACAAAAGGGATGAAAGCTAAAAGGCTGTCAGGGCCTGGCTGGTATGGCTCAATGGTTGACCATCAGCCCACAAACCAGGAGGTTGCATTTCAATTCCTGGTCAGGGCACATGCTCAGGTTGCCAGCTGGTCCCCAGTAGGGGGCATGCAGGAGGCAGCCAATCAATGATTCTCTCTCACAATTGATGTTTCTATCTATCCCTCTCCCTAATATGTATATATTTAAAAACTGTTAGGTGCCCATAAAAGACCCCACATAATATTACAACTGCTCTATGAGACCAGTGTCTCTGGGACCCCATTTGACAGAAAATAGATGAGCAACCTCAGGAATCCTCAATTGGAAAGAGCTCCCTCCAAAGCCCCCCCACACTGACCTCGGTGGCCACTGTCTGCTCCAGGAGTCACTCACCTGCTCGATTCACTCATCCATCCCCTCTATCCATCTGGCAAAGGGGCAGCCCTAGCCCTGGTCCCCAAACCATTCTTCCTCCAATGTGTGTGGGTGGGGCACTGCCTCAATGAGTAGTTGAATGGGCAGCAGTAGGAAAACAGATGCCCTTAGTGGAGCCTTTAGTAAGTGCCTGGCACTGTGCTAGGTGCTTCTCGGCCTGCAAGACGTGTAGTGAGCACTATTCTGTAGGTGAAATTGACGCTTAGAGAAGTTAAGACTTGCCCAACACATCATGGCTATCATGTGAAGTGGTAAACTGATGGGATTGAGAGATATTGCCCCAAAAACAGGAGGCAGAAGAACTCAGCCCCATAGAGTCCCTCTCTGACCGCTATGGGAACTTGGGAACATTTGTTTGAATGTCCAGGGGGTGTTTGGATGAGGTTGTCTTGAATCTGAGACGTTTCTCATGCTCATTTCCTAGGAGAGCAGTGAGTTGGGGCATGAAGAGACACCAGTGTCTGCTCACATCCCCTCCCAGGACACACCCCCTGAGGCTCCTGAAGACCTTTCTGACTCCCACAGCCCGTATCTGTCCTCAGTGTCACTGGGCCACCTCTCGCTGAGTGAGGACAGCCAGGCATCGTCCGTCCCCAGCTCTGAGGGCATGGACACCGACACGGACACAGAGCTGGTGTGGGGGCAGCAGGTGAGGGGGACAGCCATTGAGGTGGGCCCTGCCTCTCCTGCCAGCTCTCATCTCTCTGCCCCCACCCAGGAGGCTCAGGCCAACCCCGAGGACCTGAAGTTCTCGAGCGATGAGGATGGAGACTACACATGGACCCCCACCCGGCGGGCCTCCACCTTGCCCTCAGCCAGGAGGAAGAGCAGGAGGGGCCAGGCAGACAGGGGCCCCATGACGCTCACGAACAAGAAAGACTCCTGCCCCACTCAGCCGAAGAAAAAGTGTGTCAATGGCTTCATCATGTTCTGTAGGATGAACCGGAAGCAGTACATCCGGTGGGTGGGAGTCCTCTTTGGCCGCCCGCCTCCCAGAGCATGTTGCCCGCTGCTGGCTGACCCGTGGGCCCGTCCTCAGCCACATGATCCCCCAGCATCTCACCCGGCCCCACTGATTGGTCAGGGCCTGGCCATTGTAAGCAGAGAAACCCACCTCAGACTTAAGAAAAATAGGACATTAATAGCTTATATAACCTGAAAAAAGACGGGGGTAGATTAGGTTCAGATGTGGCCCCAGCACTCACAGGATGCTGTCTGGAGTCCTTGTCCCCCTCGTGGTGGGCATCAGCCTCAGGCCGGTGGGGCCGCTGGGCAAGGTCACTCCTGGAAGGTCAGGCTCATGTCCTGGCCCCCATCCTAGCAACCTTGTGGGAGGAGAGCTCATTCCTAAGGTTGCAAGAAAAAGTTCTTGGGTCCGACTTGGTAGAACAGGAGCCCAACCCGGAACCCATCGTTGCCAGCCTGAAGCCGGGGGATGGGAGGCCCCCCAAGCCACAAGGGAGAAGAGCTGGTACCCTTATGGGAAGATCCAGGGCCTGATATGGGGAGCAGCGGATACGGTGGCGTCTTCCCAACAACCATTTAGTCAGCCTCCCCCTTTTTGATGCCTCAGCTCCAGGGTGTGTAGTGGGGGTCTTTCGAGACATCTAACACAGGAGGGAAAGAAGAGAGGGCAAGGGTCAGGTCAGACCGGGGTCTGCCCAAGCAGGCCTCTCCTTACCGCCTCCCTCCTGTCCCAGAGCCTGCCCGGGGACTGCGTCCACCACTGCCACCAAACAGCTGGCCCAGCTCTGGCGGGAGATGACGGAGCAGGAGCGCAGACCATACAGGTGAGCAGCCCAGCAGCCCGCTGGGGCGGAGGGCCTCCACGCCTCAGCCCTGCGCCGGCTGTCAGAGCCTTGAGCTTAGTGAGATGAAACAGGCTGGGAGTTTCCTGGGGTGGGAGGTTTGGGTGTTGCAAACTTTTATGAAATATTTGGGGGTGACAGAGATAGAAAGGTGCTCTACCTTGGAGCTTAGAAAAGTGTACCTTAATTTGGAATTGGCCCCTGCTGCCCTAAATTTCTTTTGCCCTCTCTGCCGCAAGGCATTTCTCAGAGCAGGAAACTGGGTCTTCCCTTTCACTTGGCCTCCTCCTTCCCTCCCCTCTTCCCTCTCCCCTCCCTTCCGGAAACCCCCTCCTCTTCACCTCAGAGTGGCCACCTGCCTGTTTCTCAGTTGGCCCTCAGTGTGCAGAGATTGTAACAGGAGTGTGGGGCTTCAGCAAAGAGCCCCTGGTGGAGTCCTATTGTATAGGCCGGGCCCCGAGGTTCGCCCGCCCTGTGGGACCAGGTAAAGCCCTGGCCTCCCTTTCAGCTCAGGCCTGGCCGCTGCAGGGCCAGAGCACCAGTGGTGAGGCAGGGCCCGAGCGGCCAGGGAGGGACCGCCCATCCCACTGCCTCTCCCCCCAGCATCAAAGCTCGGAGGTTCAGCCGCCGGCACAATCGGATTGTGAAGCAGGAAAGCTCCAGCAGCGAGGACGAGGACTCGGGGGTCCCCAAGCCCTTCTACCAGCTGCTGGCGGACAGGGCCTGCTGTTCCTCACAGCCCGCCTCTCAGCTGCCTCCTGGCCACAGATGAGAGGGTAACCCCTTCACCTCTCCTCCCTCCCCACCTTGCAGCTCCACAGCTCGTTTGAAACCTGGAGCCAGTGAGGAAGAGGTTGCCCCCTCCTGGGCCTCAGCCCTGCTAGGCAGGTCTCCTTGGCCAGTTCCCTCCGGCTGGGAGGGGGTGGATTCGTTGACCCTCTGCTTTGTGTGTTTGCCATGTATATGGGCAGCTGAACTCTGCCCTTCTCACAGCTCCTTTCTTCCCTGGGGAAGGAAGCTCTGCATGAAATGCAGCGAGAAGTTAAGATGGGGCTCCCCTCTAACCTGCCTTTGTCCACCCCAGAATCAAATGGTTTCAACCCTGTTCATTCTCACCTTATCCTACTCCTCCCTCCCCTGTTCTATTTATAGGTTATTTATTGTTGCCAACAAAGTAAAGTGGAACCCTTGTTACCAGCAAGGGAGACTAGGCAGGCTGCCTTGGTCCCCTGCTCCCGCAGCCCTGGGGGCGCTCCTTCCACCTGGATCTGGAGGCCCCAGGGTCCCCTGCCTTTTGAAAGAAATCACACTCTCCCCACCACAAACATGATTTCCACCCCAGCCCCTCAGGGTGCTGGGATCAGAAAGCCAGAATCTCAAATTGGGCTTCATGTGGTGCAGCTTTTCTTTAGGAAAGTTGTTTGGAAAGTAACCCACACTCCTGAAGCTTTTAGTTATCCTGTTAACTTTATTTTAACTGAAATGTAAGCATAACATGTCCTAGAAAAATAAAGATTTAGGATACAAACTAGACACGGGGGTCAAGGTTGCCCCTCGGGTGAGGGGATCTTTGGTCTGGGGCTGGACGTGATGATGAGGGCTGTCGTCCAGGGGGAGCAGAGGGGAATCCTCGCCCAGGCCTCCCCACACCTGCATTGTGTTGCAGCTGGAAGAGCCCAGCTGGGAGGCTGTCAGTCCCTGGGCATAGGACTGCTCCACCGTCAGATTCCAAGCAGTTCTGAGAACTCTGGAGGTCAATGGAGCTATTAATAGTGTTTTAGGGAGTGATAGGGAGAGGGCTCAAGGGGGTTGGATGTCCAGCCATTTTACAGGGTTTTCAGCTCACAGCTCGTACCAGGTCAAGGGGGGCAGAGCCCCCAAGTCAGGACCCCCCAGATCTCCCCACGTATATGGGGCAGAATAAGGAGAGGGCTGTAACAGAGGAGGCTTCCCATCCAGAGGGACGGTGCCCTTGGACAGGGGTGAGCCCCGCACATCCAGGGCTTGGAGGTTAAGCAGCCGGGGGTAGGTTGTAGTGTATGTGGAATCCTCAGATCAACAACTGTTTCTGAAAGGTTCCCTTCTCCCAGCTGTCCTGGATCTCAAGCACCATTGTCAGGAGAGGCGATGAGGCCTGAGGGTCACAGTTCCAAGGGCTCTTCCACAGGCACTGACTGTAGCTGGGTCAGGACCTTGGTCTCAGCTTCCAGCCCCTCCTCCACCTCGCCCCCCGCTGTGGCCCCCAGGAGCAGCCCCTCAGGGTCAGGGTCTGGAAGCCTCAGCACAGTGTGGGGGGCCTGGGTCCCCAGCCCCTTCTCCGCTTCTAGCAGCCCCTCTGTGCCTGTGCTCAGTTCCAGTCCGGATGGCCAGATGGGCACGGCTGCAGGTGACAGCATGAGGCCCTCAGGTGGGGGCGCAGGGAAGCCAGCCAGGAGGCAGGAGGAGTCTGGTGAGAAGGGCAGGCTGGCAGCAATGGTGGCGGCAGGGGCAGGTGGTGGCTGTGGCAGCTGCTGGGCAGAAAGTGCGCCGAGGGCGTGGGCCTCTGGGAGAGCAGGGCTGGGAGCCACGGGAAGGGCTCCTTCGGGCACCGAGATGGCCGTGTCTGGCTTCAGGGGCAGGGCCAGGCTGGGGGCAGGCGGCAGGACCTGGGAGACCAGCATGCTGGTGGGGAAGGTGGCCGTGAGGATGATCTTGCCCTGCTGCACGGCCACACCTGTCACAATGGGGCTGCCAGACACGGGGTTGGCCAGGAGGAAGTTTCCTGTGGGGAGAGACGTCAGGGCACAGGGTTAGAGGGGGCTGCTGGCCGGGAGCAGAGGTGGCAGTTAAGCTGCTGGAAGGAAAGAGGAAGATTAGCCAGAGGCAAACCGACCCCCCTCAGAGCGGGACTAAGTCTGGGTGGTTTGAGCCTCCGCACAACCCGGCACAGGGGGGGTTCTGGGACATAGCAGGGATGAGCTACCCCCAACCCAAGCCCACCAACAGCACTCTCCCTCCCTGATAACTACCCCCACCCAGGCTGGACGGAGGCAGAAGGGGGTACCTGGGGCAGTGGCCGGAGGCAGCTGCAGGGCAGTCACGCCCACCCCGGAGTTTATCAGGTGCACATTAGTAGGGCCCGCGGTAGCTGCCACCTTCACGGGGCTGCCTGGCCCAGCTGCCAATAGCTGCAGTGGCCCCACAGCTTGTGGCAGAGTCACCACCTGTGAGGTGGGCACCACCTGGGGCAGATTCAATAGCGGGGAGGTGGGGCCCAGGCCTGCAGGGTACCCAGGGGGTGGGGAAAGGGGCACCACTTGTGGAGCAGCCACAGAAGCCACGGGTCCTGGGGGCAGAGGAAAGGCAGCAGCCGGCGGGGGCCCAGGCACCACTTGGGGCAGAGGCACTGGCACCTCCTCTCCAGGTGTTCCCAGAGCAGCCACCTGGGGCTTGGTCTCAGGGGCCTCGGGCTGAGCCTCCTCCAGTCGAACCTCCCCGGTCTGAGGGTCCAGGACCAAGGAGGTCTTGCCCTCGCTGGGCCCCGGGGGACTAGGCTGTGGTGGTGGGGCGCCCCCACCCCCTGTGAGCAGCAGGGGGCCCAGGCTGGAGGCTTCACCCAGGGCCAGGCTGTTGATGATGACAGGGCTCCCATTGAGAAGCACCGCTGGTGAGCTGCTGGCAGCCAGGAAACTCCCGTTCACCAGGATGGAGGAAGAGGCAGGGCATGGCGCAGGAGGGGCGGCCCCCGCCAGGAATATGGAGCCCTGGGCAGGGGCCTCCGTGGCCACTGGAGCCACCCCCCTCTCCAGGTCCTCAGGGCTGCGGCTGGACTCATCCTCAGTAGTGGGGTTCCCATCAGACTCGCTGTTCAGAGAAAGGATTGTGAGTTGCGGCCCTGAATGCTGTTTCCCCACTGGCCAGCCAGCTTCCCGCACGGAGCTGCAGGAGCCTCCCCCTCTTTCCCCGGCCCAAACTTTTGGGGACAACGGGGTGGATGCGGGCGGGGGAGTATGAAGCTTCCTCTCTCAGACCACCTAAGGACCCTCTGCAAGCCCTGCGTGGACATCACTGCATAAAAGCTGACGCTGTCCCAGCCGGAGTGAGGAGGCCGGGCATCCAGGCTGCCGGTCTCGGGGTCGGGCTGAAAGCAGCCTGGAGGCGGCGGAGAGCCGGGAGGTGGCGGCCAGCTCAGTTCCCGGTGCCCTCCCAGGGCGTCAGGGAAGGACGGGAGAGGCTGGCGTGCTGGGTGGGAGGGGAAGGGCTTGGGTTACAGGGAAACCGGAGCTGGGGAAGGTTCACGTTTCACAACAAAGACAGACGACGGACCACGCCGTTTGGGCCCCGAGGGGGGGCGGGGGCGGGGAAGGGTGTGTGAGAAAGCGCCGGGGTCGGGGAAGGACCGGGCAGCAGCGGCCAGAAAGAAGCCCCGACGCCGGGTGCGGGAACAAAGGCCCCTCCCTCTTTCCCCGTAGCCCCCTTTTCTCCCTGTCTCCCCAGTCTAGCCACCCACACGGATGGGGATCTAGGATGGGGTCCTGAGTGAAGCGGAGGAAAGAGGTCGCCCAGCCTCCGCGAGAGAAGCAGCGATGTTGGGGAGAGGGCCGGGACGTGTGCCCGTGGCATCCTCACTATTCCTCACGCCGGGCGGGCGCCGGAGGGTGTGAGCGGAGGCATCTGCGGACTTAGCGCGGGCTCCGGCAGCGGGCTCGGGAGAGGGGGCTGGTGGGTGGCA